TGGTGGAATGTTGTATTATGGAAGTATATCTCGACATAATCAATTTAAGCTTAAAGTATTTTACAAACTAATGTAAAGTTCCTAATTGCATTATGATATCAGACAAAATAGTTCAAAATAAAAATTAATTGTCCAATATGTCACCATAAACAAACTTAAAAATGAGTATCTATCTGCTCTTGGTCTTTGAAATTCGTCTTTGAAACTGCAACTTCTTTGTAATAAAATAGTCTGAGTATTTACAATTTGGAAATTTGCAGAAAACATTTTAAAATACTTACAATTTATACTATTTTAGTTATATAGCTCTTACTTACGTGCCTAAAATATCAGTTTTTATAGTATCCTGCATATATAATTAATACAGAATATTGTCTTCCGCCCAATAATATAAATATTCCTAGATCAAATACTTGTTATTAGACATTACTAAGGAACTGGAAGCGACATTATATAAATATGTGTGTGTGTATGTATAGGTTCCACATCAAAATTTAAGTATAGTTTTGTCCTTTTTTTATACTTTTAAAACTCATGAGAAACAAGACATGGATAATTCTATTCTCAAGGGATGATTATTTTTTTAGCGACTATCAAACTACGTTTTGGAATGGATCAAAAAATTCTTTAAAAATCGAAAGATGTGTTGTTTATGGACGGAACACCTCTGAGTTGAGCTACGTAGAAAGAAAAGTTTCAATTATGTATATATATATATATTACACACAATAAATGTTATTACAAAATACCAGTTTTAAAATATTTTGGGGTCAAAATTATTAACATGGAGGTAGAATTATTAGTTGTACTTAGATTTTGGAATTTCATATGCAGGTGTGCACTCGGCGCCTGAAAGGTGGTCGCCGATCTTGATTTTATTAATAGCATAACTTTAGTAGCCGGAATGATACTCGGGTCCCGTACCGTAACTATGCAATGGTTGCTTTGCACGCTACTAATACTATTTAATGAGCAGCTAGAATAATGTGGCACACTTCTTGGGGGTGCGTCACCTGCTGCCGAACGTTATCTCAGAACATCCTATGCATGTTCAATTCGATTCAAATTCGGTGAATGCAATTTGTATCAATAAATTTAAACCAGCATTTGGACTTCTCAATTCATTTTGATTAACTTAAAACATGTTATGATTCTTAAAAATAAAATGGATACTTAACGATATATTTATTTTTAATACACATGTATTTTGAATGTCATTGTTAAAAGTTATTCTTACTTGATATCGGGATTCCCTTTCCCTCTCTTTGGTTTCTTTTTTCTATACATAAAATAACAAAAGAAAATCATTAGTTTAAATGCAACATAATTTACATCTCTACATTAGTACTTTTGTTATAACTAAATACTTCATGATACCGCTTGTTCAAGAGTTTTATCCTAGGAATACTACAATATAATCCAGCTCAATTATGCGACAAATTCAGATTCTAAACATCTTCATTTTTTTATAAAAAGCTTCACTATAAATTATCACAATTTTTCGTGTTGTGATAGTTTCTGTCTCTTACGGTTATATATCCCACTTTCAAAACATAAGAGTAGTTAGTTCAACAAAAAAAGACATCCACTGTATGCTTCGTATTTTATTTTTGAATCTACTACCAGCAAAAATATAAAGATACTCGTTTTACCTGGGCCCGGCATGGCCAAGTGGTTAAGGCAATCTGAGGGTCGTGGGTTCGAATCCCTGTCACACCAAACATGCTCGCCCTTTCAGCCGTGGGGGCGTTATAATGTGGCGGTCAATGCCACTATTCGTTGGTAAAAGAGTAACCCAAGAGTTGGCGGTGGGTGGTGATGACTAGCTGCCTTCCCTCTAGTCTTACACTGCTAAATTAGGGACGGCTAGCGCAGATAGCCCTCGTGTAGCTTTGCGCGAAATTCAAAAACAAACAAACTCGTTTTACTAAGTGTTTGAACCGGAGGGCTACAGTGGGAAAATAAATTATTATAAAATATAACAATATTGGAGCTCCACATTCCTTGCTTTTCAGCTGTATAGCACTTGTGACCCTTTTTTTTTCAGGTTTATTAAGAATATTGACCCTTAGCGAATATAACACCAAATGCACATTAGCATTGAGGTACCCGGCACAGAAAGACACGTATTCACAGTATCTTCCACTCTTGTGATGAAGTTGCCACAGCATTTATGTTATTCCAACATGAGATTAAAAACTTAACACACCAACTGTCCTGAAATATATAATACACAGAGTTGGTTTGTTATATATGTAGGCTAATAAGAATAACGAGACATGTAAAAACCTACAATTTCAGATTTATTATAGGTAGAGAATAGGCTCTAATATTCCATTAAAATTATATTCTGTTACGCTATCTGTTCATAGTTGCTCCTCATTTTAAACTTACAGACTAAAGGGGAGACAGTTAATCAGGACAACCATTACTACTTTTGGGTCTGACCAAACAATGAGACCTGACCGTTACTTTTATAGTGTACCCATAGTTTCAAAGTGCGGAGCGTCTTTATACGATAACGAATATGCCACAGTGGCCTAATTCCAAAAGTTTCCTTTTTTTTTAGTTGAACCTATATCTCAACATTTCACTTCTTACGTGTAGAATCAGCAAGCTGACTATATGGTGGAAAATATACCTTATGAATGCTTCCTGCAAGATTCAGGAAAGTATTGATGCAGAAATAAGATAATACTTTTACATTGCTAGAACTAAGTGACGTGACAGCTTTTTAGGATTCGGATGCGTCACCTTTGATCAGCAGTTTGCCACAGCTTGCCTAACTCTAGCGCATTGCCATAGATGGTAGCAGGACAAGTTGACCAGCTGACGTAGTTTACGGCAGCCAACTAAAGCTTATAAAGATTTGAGTCCTGAAGCCGCTTAATACCGTTAGGATACCTTAGATGCTAATGCATCATCAGCGATTCTCGAGCAGCATCTACCTGGTGACGCCCATCTCACCTGCAAATAAACGTCACTAATTTAGCAATGGAACACTATAGGGAAGGTAACTAGTCAATTCTGCTTAGCGACAACGAATAGTGGGATTGATCGAGACATTATAACTCACCCACGGCTGATAGGGCGAGTATGTTCGGCGATGGAGGTTCGACCACGTGACCCGCAGATTGCGAGTCGAGCGCCCTAACAACAAAGCCATGTCAGACTGGCCTGCATACTCAGTCTCAGATTATCTTCCAGGCAATGTTTATTATCAGAGATCCAATATATATTTCACACGCACACAGTGGCAGAACGGTATATCTGCGAACTTACAACGCTAGAAACCGGGTTTTGATACCCGAGGTGAGAAGAGTACAGATAGCCCTTTGTGTAACTTTGTGCTTAACTACAAACAACCAACGAACTACATATTTCATATTCCTTCGTAACCTTTCTATTCATACACTCTATTACATACAGACTATTACAATTACTGAAAGCATTTCAATTTTTCGCTAGTTACGTTTTTGTGTTCATTTACGACAAATTTTAAGTGTTGTTGTTTCAAATATTTTTAAATTAGGTTATTTTAAAATGTACGAGTATAATAAAAGATAATAACAAATGCAAGTAAAATATACCAAAATTGGAAACCAGGATGAAATTATTTCTGTTGCTTTAAAACGTGTAACGAATTTGTTAGTATATATTTATTTTAATATCAATGTTGATTAGATTAAATTTATGTTTAAAAACATGCATAGTTTATACTGTCAAATATGTATTGTGAAACTCCCTCCTATTCTCCAAAGTTGTAGAAGATTCTCGAGAGTAAAAATCAACAACATATGTATGTACGTAAACGCTTGTGTTAGCATCAGTATTGTTATGCAAAACTGAGTTTTCTTGAAAGCCTCCACACGCCTATAAATATAACCAACTAAAAAAAAAGAGTATATATATATATTATTAGTTTGCTATGGACAGTGTACTATAAACGTTGGAAGCTATAACTGTGATTGTTAGAACGCTCATTTATCGGAAAACTTCGAACACAAAGTTCGAACACTATAAACCATTTAACTTCAGTGT